GGTTATCACATACGGGAATTGCGTTATTTCCACCGATGAAGTTCACAAACATAACTGCTGGAAAAGATTTTTCACTTAGCAGTTGCCTTGAAAGGTTTTCGAGAGACAATGCCCTCGGATGTCGAGAGTCTTTGAAAACTATATAATCGTTCACTGAAAACTCAAGGAGTACAATGTCAATAGTATTTCCAGGACTCATAAGAGTTCTGTAGCAAAAAGAGAAAAAGTTGCTTGCAGTCCCTCCAAGAGCCATGTTTTGTAGTGTGATGACAGATCCTGTGAACGGCTGTACGGCTTTTTGCCACCAATCAATAAATACTCGATAATATATCCCTCGTAGATCGGAAAAATCGCTCATTATTCCGCCGCCGGCAGATATGGATCCCCCCATGACTACTAGGCCAATATTCTTACCGCGCAAAACCTTTGCCATAGCATAGTTGAGTCGATGCGTGGTTGATGCTCGTTCTACAGTTTCTTTTACATATACCTCAGGCGTGATGGACATGTCCCCTAAGGACTTATAATTGTCTTTGTGATACCAGACTTCATAAGGGTCTCTTTCGACTGAGTGTTTAAGAGCATTGTATTCCCCTCGTGATAACTTGTCTGAAAAAGGTTGGAAGCCAAGCTGTCCAACTTGTGACAAAGTGAAAGTAAGATCTACGACAGAGAAAATGATAATAACGAAATAACACGTCCAATTCATGTGCGTCTCTGTTCATTTAAATTTCGACTCCAACTACAATGAAATGATTGACTTCTAACCTGTTACTTACGGTATTTTTTGCACAACAAAGGTACCCGTTAAAGTCACTTTAAGAATTTAAGTTAGATATTTACATTCAACTCATTTTTCGTTTTGTTCTCCTTTGTATACAAATTGACTTCAGTTTTTGATTTCGAAGCCTTACAGACCACTTTCATAAATGGCTGCCGGATTAATATTCTTCTGTTTAAATTTAAATTAGCCTTTCTGGCTTCGCTTGAGATAATGTATTCTTTTGAATTTCGTACTGGAGAACGACGCCAGAAGGGCTAATTTAAATTTAGACAAAAGAATATTAATCCGGCAGCCATTTATGAAAGTGGTCTATTATGTCAAGAACATGATCAAAGATGAAGACGCACATCGATTGACAGCTCTAGGGCGGAGGCGTATCAAAAATATAACCGTTAAAGACCGTTGACCTCAGAGATGTACATATATTAGATACCGCGTGGGTCTGAGGAGGTGTTTCTTGAGTGTGGCCAGAGTTCTCATGGGTTCCTCTCCTTCCACAAAGACCAACACCATAAATGAAAAATGGATGAAAAGCCACTCCGTGCCATAGCTGCACTCAAGTTAATTTTCGTTCATTTACAAGGGAACAATTCTACAATCGGTTAATCTGATGAGATTTCGCTTCGCAATACCTCGAATAGGATCGACTTAGATGGAATAATGGGCTTAAAGGAAACGAAGAGAATCGGGCAATAAATGTTCAGGATTTCTGAGTAACACAGATTTTCTTTTGCTGTGGAAACCTATATGAGAAACCTAGTTTCTTGAACGCGAAACCTTTTAACTTTTCAAAGATTGACAGCTATTAATCGCCTATAAGTTTTACATGACTTTAATAAGTCTCAAACTGAAGGCCATCTCAGGAGAGACTGTCTCAATGACGACAGTGTTGAAAATGGATTTGACGGGTAACCATTATCTGTCCAAATATCCAGTTAGGTACTTAGCAGGTGAATGTTTTCATTACTTGACAGAAATGTATTCTTTTTAGTTAATACTTACTCGCGGCGATCATACGATCAATAAATAACACTGTGCAAGTGATTGTTTGGATGTCACAGACTTCAGTGGTATATCTAGTGGCCGCTTAAGTTCTGATAATGTTTGGTTTCGAAACTTTAATGTCGCGATTTACTTGGAGAACTCATTTCGTGATGCTGCTGTTAGCTGTGTTTATTATCAAGAGGGAAACTGTACACTGGTCATACATGGGAAATGCGGCCAATATTTCACGACAGCAATATAAAATTGTCTCTCGTAATGGTTCTATCGGACTAAGGATGAACAGGGACTTCATTCCGGCGAAGCTCGGACTTCTCAGGTCCGCTATTGAAAGAGATCCGTTTGAAACGTGGTTTTTTAAAAACCGATTTAAGTCCAAAGTAGATTTGCTCATGGCCTCCAAACCTTGGAACAGCGGCGTATTCCAACGAAAAGGCACCACAAGTCGCCTCAAAAATGTAATCCTACGATCGCTTCAGGGTGAAAACATTGGCATCGCTATCATGGGTGGATCAATTTCTGCAGGTGCCGGTCTGACGTATGATGGTGAAGACCTAAGAGGCCTGTATTACCGAGTTTTTAGTGACTGGTGGCGCAAAATAGTGCTGCCACTCACAGGGTCTAGCATAAAACTTAGTAATCTTGCTATGGGTGGAACCAGCAGCAACTTTTACGCTTTTTGTTATAGCGTTTTTTTAAACCCTGAAACTGATATGGATCTCGCGTTTCTTGACTTCACCGTGAATGACTATGTTCAGTTTAAAAACTGCAAGTTTCCAATGGCCCTACCATTAGAACAACTTACTAGAGAAGTCTTGAGCGAAGGAAGTTCACCCGCCGTTATGTTCGTTAATTTTGTACAAGGTGATGTAAAACGTCCAAAATGTGAAAATTTGGAGAACCACGGACAGACACTTCTCGCTAAACACTACGGAATAACAACGTTTAGTTTGCGAAAGTTTCTATGTTCAGGTTTTTCAGCAAAACAGAAAAACCTTTCCAAAATGTTTGCAACTGATGGCAATCACATCAGCATAATAGGCCACGCTCAGATGGCTTTTATGATGATAAACCATGTACGGCAATTAATGCTTAATGTGCTTGACGGCTTGATGACTACCATGAAAGGGAAAGTAACTGCTGAAAAACTGTCGCTTCCATCAATCGGTGATAGAATAATATTACCAGACTGTCCTCTGAAATTTAAAAATCTTCCAGAAACTTTGTTCAAGAGCTACTGTCAAAATCTTTGCGAACACCCCAGGTGTTTCACCCAAATAACACCCGACTGTACTTCAAACATTACGGCAAATCAAAGTCTGCAAGTTAATGCAATCGGGACTTTTGGATTTGAGGCGATTCAGAAAGTACCTATTAATAGTGTGTTATTACCTAATGCCACATGTGAAGCTAAGCAACGAAGCCTAGAAAATCATGATCAGCAATTTAATGAAATTCAGACTCACAGAACAGATGCATATGGGGGATGGAAGTCCAAGTCTAAAAACTCTATGCTGGAATTGGAAATACTAATACCGTTCACGTCTCTCTCAAAGCAGTGCATTATGGAAGGTGAAACTCCGGCAAGAATGGTGGCAATAGCTGTTCGAACACGTGGTAATGGTGGACAGGCAAAAGTGTGGTTAAATGAACACGAAGAAAGAGGAGTTTTGATCAGCAGTTATTCACTGTTTAGTCACACTAAACTACACACTATTGCTAGTCACGTGATGCCCGGGCGGCATGTGATTAGCATCAGAACAGAAACCCCAGGGGTATTCATTTTGTCGGGTGTTATGGTTGGACCGACTCACAAATGATAAATCCCTGTGATGTGAGATTCTGATTTTGATAGATTATATGGGAATTGGACTAATAGACGGGTTCTTGCTAAAAGATGACCTAATGCCTAAAAGAAACTTCACGGCCCGCAGTCCGCAGTCGATTTTTCGGCTGGTACCTGAAGTTAAATGATGATGAGTTCCTAAACAATTTCATCACCTCAAACCTTCAGTTTGGTGAGGCGACGCTGACTTTAGCTAGCGAATGTAAAGTAGGTCCCAGGCAGCGAGCGTATTTTTTTAAAAAAAAACCCAATGAGACTAGATTTTCTTGATCCTTAAAGAGTATCTGTTAAAAATTTGCGGGGAAACCTTGATATGCGGTGAAATCTTGATATGGTAGCAACGTCATTAACCTGAGTGTAAAAATATCTGTGGAGATTAATAATGACCGGAAGTCGCTGAGTGTGATAAACACCTGTAACAGCCAATAAGCAAAGAACTCATGATCTTTACTCGTCAACTGCAGTTCAAGTCATCGTCAAGGGATCTATCTTAAAATTACGATGAGTTTTGGAACGTGTAACTGGTTGTATTACTTGGCACATACCGGAAACAGGTTCACCAGGAAAGTTGAAAGCTTTTCAACTTTAACTTGACATATCGATTACCTTTAAATCACGTAAACCGGAGACAAAAATCTAGAATGTTCCATATAACGATCTTTATAATTCTTCTTCAAGTAACGTGCGGTGCGGTACAAGAAAGAGAGGACTGTCATTCAAGTTTGCATAACAAGCAGTCTGAAGTGAGAGACAAACTTCCTGCGAAGAATCTGACTAAAATCTATACTCTCAAGCATTCGCTTCAAAGAAATCCGTTCGATATCTGGTACTTCAAAGATAAGTTTAAGTCTTTAGAAGATTTATTACTTACGACCGAGAAGTACAACAACCAGATTGTTGAACGACAAACAACAAAATATCGTCTTAGAAATGTTATGGGAAAAGTTCTACTTGGTCAAGATATTGGCCTTATTGTAATGGGTGGATCAACATCGGCTGGAGGTGGATTAATCAACGATTTCTCCAATCTAAAAGGAGTTTATTATCGTGTTTTTGTCGATTGGTGGCAGAAAGCCATACAGCCTTTCACAGGATCTCGCGTCAAATTGCGTAATCTCGCCGTTGGAGGAACTTCTAGCGACTTTTTCTATTATTGTTACAAAACCTTAATGAGACCTGAGGATAACTCAGACATTATCTTCCTTGAACTTTCAATAAATGACTATCTTCAATTCAAGGACTCTAAAAAGCCAAGTGCGTCCTCTCTTGAAAAACTTACAAGGCAGCTCCTCGAGGAAAAATCTTCCCCAGCAGTAGTGTATGTTAATTTTACTCCCGGAAGTAATAACATTCCCATATGTGACAACCTAGAGAATCACGGGCAGACTATGCTAGCCTGGCATTATGGGATAACAAGTTTCAGTATGCGCGAGTCGTTATGTTCAAATGATGGAGACAGACAATTTCCAGCGTTTTTCGCCTCAGATGGAAATCACAGCGGTAATATCGCACAAGCACAAATCGCTATGATGATAATCAACAACGTTCGTAACACTTTATTAGACACTATAACAAATACCCATCGAGGACTCTTTTATTTGCGATGTATCGACTTACCGAGACCTGTTTATTTTGCGGGCAAACAAGGATCTGTCCCAGGCCCTCTCTGTTATTCTCACCTAACACCAGACGTAAGTAGCACGTTCTTCAATCCGTCTCTCTCTGTCACAGAAATAGAAATTACGGGATTTAAGCGCACTCGAAATCTACCTATTAGCGTTGCTGGAAGTAGTCCATTGGAAAAGAAACTCCGGCCTGTGCGGACTGATGGTTTTGGTGGATGGGAGGCAGAGAAAGTAAACTCTACTCTACAACTAAAAATTGATTTTCCTTTTGATGGCATTTCTGGGGATAATCAGACTAGAGATGTTATCGTAGCCTTCCGAACAAATGGTTATGGAGGAAAAGCAGAAGTTTCATTGGACAAACGTAATAAAAGTTTCTATGCTGATGCTTATTCCATATTTGGATATACACGACTCGTAAAGGTAGCGCGTCGCGTGACACCAGGAAGCCACAATCTGAGTTTTAAGATTGTAAAAAGCGGAAAGTTTGCTTTATGCGGTATAATGACTGCAGGTCCAGAACCCGAGCCATGACAAAGTAATGAGCCTAAACAAGACTCTGTTGATCATGTGACTGTTACGATTGGGCAGGAACTAGAAACTCACCAAAAGAATGCATCACGTACCTAGCTGCTTTCGGGCAAAACATGATTATCGGATCAGAGGCCCGTTTCTCGAAAGTCCCGGTAACTTAACGGGCCCGGAGCCATCTTTTAAAATAAAAATTTAAAAGATGGGAAAGCAGGTTATGACATCCAAACCAGTCCTTTTTGTTTCTTTAGCTGATAGTTTTATTGTATCATTTTCAAAACTTTTGAAATTCCCATCTTGAATGAAAACAGAACAGCTTTACGGGCCCGTTAAGTTAGCGGGACTTTCGAGAAACGGGCCCCAGGTCACCTGAAAGGGTCTAAAATGGGTTGATATTGGGTACCGATCCCGCGACGAGTAAGAGGAAAAAGTTACCAAAACGGAAACAAATGACTTATGCTTTGTGCAACTACAGATGGAATATACTGCAAAGATGATTTTTCTGTGCACATGTTCAATTGACAAAAATTAACGTGTATGAATGAAAGTTCATAATTTTGGAGTAGCGTTGGTTCATTTTGCGGTGTCACAGACCGTTTAATGCTACAAATGCGTCAAAAATTTTCAACTAGTTGATGACATTAGCAAATAAAGAAGTGCTTGCCTTCGAAACATACCTGATGTATGCCGTTTGTGAAACCGTGTCTTTAGTTTCATGTATATGCTATGCACATCTTTATAACGAAATTTATTCATCAATAACCTGTTGTTTATGAATTCAGTCATTACAGATAAAACACTTTTAAGGTTGCTCAAGATTTTTTCACGTCTTTGCTTAACTTTTATTGATTTCCTCTAATTCATGATGCAAATTTTCCGACTTTATTTAAGACCTTGTCCATTCATGAAAAATCTGTAATGAAACATATCTTCTGGAAATAAATATCTTTTTGTCATTTAACAAGTTTTCATGGTAGTAGTACATATCGTGTTTGCTAATGGTCGGTGGTACTGTCTTCAATTGACATTCATGGCATGTTTTCGAATGATTATCAGTCAGCTGACTTCTCCATTGTTTCCTACAAAAAATTCAAAGGAAAAAAGAAATAATATATCATAACACATTGAACAACAAATCAAAGCAAGTGTCTTTTATACAGCAACACCTACTAGTTAAAAAGTCAGCACATTTTAGTCACCTGTTGCCGTTTTCCACGGATGTGTCCCATGTAAGCATTGTTTAATGCCTTCAATAAATCTTTGTTTGATCCCCAGTCTCCCTGCAAAATAAACGCACTGTACAGAGGTGGCCAAATTTTTGAAAGGAGCATACCATTCTCTCTTATTTACTTCATCAGTGTGACGCGAAATGCCTCAGCCAGCGTGTGAACTTTTCATCTTACCGTCCGTTTCCCCCGAAAGCGGCCAAAAAACTGCCTACTGAGTGCTTCACGAAGGGCAGGATTATAACCCCAACCTTCCAGCTGTAAGGTAAAACAAATGCAAATTCTCCTAACTAATCACCACAGGATTCATAAAATGCTTGTTAGGAGAAGTTAGCACGTCCATCTGAAGCTGAACTGAGGGTAATTTGCAGGATTCACCCTCTACCTATTTGACTCAGGTCGCTTAGCTATCAAGATGGATAAATTTTCTTTTCACCTTTGCTTCAGGCGAACTGCAAAGAAAATACGAGAAAATTTCCGTTGATTTTCAACCCTTCTGATCCAGATTGTAACCATAAAGGTCAAAACAGGCAGCTGATAACGACGATTTTTTTCCTTCTTAAATCAGGCAATTGCGTTTCCGATCGTTTTTTAATTGTTTCCTCCATCTGAATGAGTTTAGCTCGATTTAGTTGAATTAGTTCAGGGAACTAATTATCCTGTTCACCTTTGGTTTCATGTTCTTAACTACAATGAAGTAATTACCGTTCTCTTTCCTCTGATATGTCCAAAATATGCTTTATTGAGGGCTTGCTCTAAGGGCGGATGATTATCTGATTGCTGAAATGATTACAATATGATTATAATATGATAACACGTGACAATATGAACCTGTGGTTCAGTTGTAAAGTCGTGCATTGATGGAAAAGCTTAATTGAGGCATGGGATGAAGAAATCCCCAAAGCTCATTAAAAAAAAAATACCACAGCTGGACAAAAAATTGCACATTCTTCATTCTCCTGTATAGCGCATACATGCTCTACGCTGCCATAAAACTGTGCTACCCACAGATTGCTTTAAATAATCTAGCTAGACTGCCATAGTGAAAGCAAGGCTTACCGTTCTTTTTCCACGAATATGTCCAAAATAAGCATTATTAAGTGCCTGTTCCAAAGGTGGAGAATCATCCTTGTCCTGTAAAATGGAGAGAACTTCGAGTTAATTGAATAATCTGTAACAAAATAAGTACAGGATCTTTCGTTGTGATTAGTGAAAAGTGAAGTTAATTTAGACCTGTTTGCATTTGAATGAAAGCAAATCAGTGCTCCAAGACACAAGGAAACCGTGTATAGTTCAAAGTAAATACTCAGTGTAATTAATTTCCATGGCCGGCAGAGCCGCTACCATTGGCCACGGTTCTTTGACATTCTTTATTACATTCTTTATTCAATCTTGTTATTGAAACTGTTTTTTTTTTTTTTTCATGGCTGTGTATAAAGGTCTCTTTCACAAAAGATATAGCTTTATCTGAGTAGAACATGCGACTTCAATAAAAAGGAAATCCTTTCAATCAAAATTTCGATTTCGATTTAATACTCAGGATGAAAACTATGACGCGTTTTGTCTCTGAAGATGAAGGTGGTACAATGGTATAAATAAGTAGTTGTAGGCTGTACTGTGAGATCTTCGCAAATCAACCATATACTAACCGTTCTTTTGCCCCTAATGTGACCAAAATATTTCGAGTTTAATGCTTGAAGTAAGCCGGGCGGATCTTCAGATTTTTTCTCCGTTTCACTGCTTGCTAAGCAAACCACACAAAATAAGACAGCGAGTCTTAAAAACATCATTGACCTGTAAAGAAATATATACAAACATTAAGAGTCTCCTCTTCTTTTTATAATTAATTGTTACAATAGCCATGATTTCAAGTTCTCCCAGCCTATCAGGTCCTCCGTAATTTTTCTGTCTAATATCAAGAGTCCTTAATTAAGACCGCAGAGACAAGTGCCCGATAAATTTACTCTTGCAGCCGGATAGTCAGATAAAAAAATGAAGCACTGACAAGTTCTTTTCTTTAAAGGATACTTTATCTTTGGTTCCTAGGTTTTTTTTTTACTTCATCTCTAATGATGGTTGTTAAGGTACGTTTCCTCGAAATCAAGTCTTTCATATTGCGGGAAACTCATCCTTATTTCTCAAGTATACACAAGACCAAAGCAGGAGAATTATTTGAGCAGAACTAAATGCTGAGAATAAAGATGTAGTCACTGCATTTTAGCGCTTTTAACAGGCATGATAAAGTCAAATGAGTGACATGAAAAAAGGAGGAATATTTCATATCATTGACACAAAGAAACAATGACAAAAGACGCGAACACAAAGGCTTGGAAATATCTTATTGCGCGTGGGAACGCTCACAACACGTAATACTCAATATCTTTTGGGTGGTACCCATTCAGCCAAGACAGCAATCGAGAAGAAAATCAGAGGATTTCCAGAAACAGTGCGACTTCGTCGTGACCAATACGTGTGCTCTTAACCATTATTAAAATATACAGGTAGTACTTGCAAAACGACCGCGTAATTACACAAGACAGCAGTTAGATTTTAATCTTTTACGGTGTGACAATCTACTGAAAGTAAGTCGGAATTTCATAAGGTCAAAAAAGAAGCTTTCGTGTTTCCTCCTAAGCATGACTCTGTACATTTATATTTCTTTATTTTTCTTTAGTTTTTTGTTTTCGAGGCATGAATTCATCCGATATTGTCTGAAAGGACAAAAAAAAAGTCCTACTAGAAACCAAGATTCAGATCAGTGACACCCAATTTAATACGCCAGCCTTAAAATAATGGGTAACACATGCAACAAAAAAAGTGCTGAAAATTTCTCAAACATCATCTTTGAGCTCATGATGAGCTTTTTTGAAACATGATAGAAATTCAGCTCGGCAGTTATAATGAATAGCAAAAACATTCCCATACCTTTACATCAATACCAGAAACACCACTCAAAGAATAAATACTCAAACATCATCGTAAATGAAATTTTATCATACACAGTCTTCTTACCTGTACTCTGCTGTTCCTTGTCGATGAAAAAGTCGTTCTAGAACCAGATTTACAAAGTGTTTCGTGTTAGTCGCACCAACTGAAAGTGAGCGTCGGATGAAAACACCGCACTTAATATACAATTCCCTCCAAGCATTTTCATTGTCAACACTTCAATTATCTTTTTAATTACAATCTTACTGATCATCATCAAATAAAATGTTCTTCCCGACTGACGCGGAACAAACGTCCTCCCACTGGTCGCAATTAGCAGTTTAAAAGGCATCCGGTCAAACCTCATTAACAAGTATGTTTTATATATTCCTATCGACAATTACTGCTCCGCCTTTTCATTCAATATCGTTTCTTTGTGTTCGATATTAATCAGTGAAAGTAAAAGAAAAAAGAGATTTCCTTTGTTCATAGGCCACATTTTATTTACCGGCCCAAACATCCGCGTCATAGATTCTATTGCTTCCATCTTTTCCAAACATAATAGTTCCAATTTCTGTAAATTATTCTCTAAAGAATATATAAAAACTTTTCCCAGCCTTATTTTTATCATTCGTATTAATTTCCAATGTTTATAAACTCTTCTTGAATGGAAAAGGAGTCTTAAAAGGCGGATATTGTGAAGAGCTTTTGTAATCACATGAGTTCCTAATGAGCACATATTCTGTTTCCTTTCTGTGAAAGACATATTTCCAAACCCGACAGCTTTTTCTCCTATCACAATGCACATCCCTCCGTTTAAAGTAGACAAAACCTCGCTGTTTCAATTTTTTAACTTTATGTTTTTTGCAGTGAAAAGCCAGGTTTTTAAAGTTGCCTTTTGCGAGGAGATCAGTGTCTTTGCGTGTTTTGAAGCCGCTCCATGACTCTCTTTAATCATTTCCGTAATAACATGATTTCTATAGCTCCCATAATAATACCACGGGGCATTTTAATACTTATAAGTTTATAACTTTCTTAATTTTTGGCTTTGCCTTGAGCCTTGCCAAGGTGCCCCAATAAATTCTCAAACAAAAGAAATTAATTATGTGTTCATCAAATCCGACGGAGTTATCTTTAGCACCAAGCCTGGAATTTTACACTTCAGATCTTCGCTTATATCTTTGTTAGTTAACTTGTGTCAACTTCTATCTGAGAAGCGGCGACGAAAATGATTTCAGTTTACTTCTAATTGAGCAACGGACGACTTTTCGCGACCGAGTGAAGTTTTAAAGGAAGAGGTATTTTGTTAGCTCTATGTGTGATAAATCTTTTCTTCTCTGGATTAAATGTATACTTACCAACGGAAGCTTGATAATTTATGAAATCAGAGCTTTTTTGATAACGCAAAACCAAGCTTGACTTAGTCGTTCACTTGGGTTGAGATAAAAATTCTAGCACTGAGCGGTACTGAATGTGAGTAAAAAGGTGTTCAGTGTTATGCCGGCATGAGTTCTTATTTTCCTTTAAGTTCCCTGGACAAATGTTTGACCATGTTGCTCACCAAAAAACTCAACTTGATTTATTTGAGCTCCGGAATCTTTAAAAAACGGATTTCATAATTTTTCTTTTAATCAACCGGTTCTCGATAAAGAAAAAGTGGGAACCCCTGAGCATACGACCATTTGCTATTACGGAAGTGCTTGCGTTAGATGAAAAGCAATCAGTCTTCACTCTCAAGCAAAGGCATCTGGGACTTCTAATGACTTAGGATAAAACAAATTCCTGAAAACTAAGACATCTGTACTTAAAACTGGATACAGAATATATCTCATATGAACTTTTATGATTCGTTTCTCCCGAATTTTCCCAGAATCTGCCAAACGCTTGAAACGAAAGAACAGCACTTTTGGAGCAGATGGTGTAAGACAACTTTTAATGTCCCGAGCTATACAAACTCCTGGTTACGGCCATTACGTTACTTCTCTACTCGCTTGGTGTACTTTACTTGCTAGGCATACTTTAATTACTTGCTTGGCCTACTTAACTGTAATTGCTTAATATACTTTGTTTGCTTTACTTGCTTCGTATACTTTACTTGCTTGATGTACCAATTATTTGCTCGACTTACTCTATTTCCTTAGTGTACTTAACTCAGTGCTTGGAACACCTAAAGTAAAGTACACCGAGCAAATGAAGTACACCAAGCAAGTAGAGTACGTCGAGCCAATTAAGTACATCAAGCAAGTTAAGCACACCAAGGATGTAACGTACATCAAGAAAGTAATAAGTACATTAAGCAAGTAAAGTAAACCAAGCAATAAAACTACGCCAAGCGAGTAAAGCACGACAAGTAATTGATACGTAAATTGAGCAAGTAAAGTACTTCAAGAAATTAATAAGTACATTCAGCTAGTAAAGTACACCAAGAGATTAATAAGAACATTGAGCAAGCAAAGTACGTCAAGAAATTATTAATTACATTGAGCAAGTAAAGTACGCCAAGTAAGTAAAGTACGCATCAAGGAAGTAGAGTACAACAAGCAAGTAAATGATACATGAAGGAAGTAAAGTACACTAAGCAAAGAAAGTATATCGAGCAAGTTAAGTAAAGTACGCCAAGCAAGTACTTTTAAGCACATGCCAAGCAATTAATTAGTACATCAAGCAAGTAATGATTTTCTTTGTCCTTTGTTTGACAATGCTCAGCACGGTTTCCTTCAGGGTCGATCTACAGTCACCCAGCTTCTAACGTTCTATCACGAGATTAGCCAGTCTCTTGATAAGGGCCTGCAGTCGGACATAGTGTACCTGGATCTCGCGAAGGCTTTCGACAGTGTTTCCCACCAAGGGTTGCTTCTGAAACTCTCCCAATACGGTGTCAGTGGGAAACTTCTCCAGTGGTTTGAGAGTTATCTAGATGGACGTGGTCAGCAGTGCTTGGTCCACGGTTTCACCTCTAGTCGTTCCCCAGTTCCATCAGGAGTCCCTCAAGGCAGTATCCTTGGTCCTCTGCTGTTCTTAGTTTATGTGAACGACCTCCCGCCGGTGATACAGAATCATATCGCACTCTTCGCCGACGACTCAAAGTGTTCCAGTGTCATTGATAGTCTACAGGACTGTGAGTCACTCCAAAAAGACCTGGACAGGCTGGACGGCTGGTGANGTCTTACTCGCCATAGCTCTGATCTAGACGTACTAATTCCTAAGTGCCGTACAAAGCTCTTTCAATTTAGTTACTTTAATCGTGTCGCTAAACTATGGAATACCTTACCTGTATCCACTCGTATTATTAGTTCTCTCAATCAGTTTAAATCTCACGTACTCCAACGCTATTCCGCTGCTTTTCGTACAAACTATGACGTCACTAACTTCAACACCTGGAAGTCGATCTGCTGCAAATGCAGCAGGTCACGTGATCTTCTATTAGATGGTAACTGTTGCTATTAGGACTTTCTATCGGCCGCATAAGGGATTTATTCATATCGTTTTCGTTTTTGCTTTTATTATTGTATATACTTTTTTATATACTTTTTACACTGTCTGTTGTTTACATAGTTAGTATTTGTATATTTCTCGTAAGGGCACACTTAATTTGGAGCCTCGCTCTGTTGTGTGTCCCGCACCTTTGTCCTCCGTTCTCCTCTGTGTCTTGTTCATATGTATATTTTAGTCCTTTTAGTATTGTAAGTATGGTGAAAGCGATTAAATAAATAAATAAAATAAACAAGTAAAGTACATCAAGCAAGTAAAATATGCCAGGCAAGTAAAGTACATCAAGCAAGAAAGGTATGCCGAGCAAGTAAAGTACGCCGAGTAAGTTGAGTATGCCAAGCAAGTAAAGTACGCCGAGTAAGTTAAATACGCCAAGCAAGTAAAGTACGCCGAATAAGTCAAGTTAAGTATGCCAATCAAGTAAAGGACGCCGAGTAAGTTAAGTATGCCGAGCAAGTAAAGTACGCCGAGTAAGTTAAGTATGCCGAGCAAGTAAAGTAGGCCGAGTAAGTTAAGTATGCCAAGCAAGTAGATTACGCCGAGTAAGTTAAGTATGCCGAGCAAGTTAAGGACACTAAGGAAGTAAAGTACATAAAGCAAATAATCACCGCATCAAGCAGGGAAAATATATGAAGTAAAGTAAATAAAATATATCAAACAAGTAATTTATTCACTTAGTAAAGTACGCTAAGCAAGTAAAGTATGCCAAGCAAGTAAAATATGCCAAGCAAGTAAAGTACATCAAGCAAGTAATTGATACACCAAAAGAGTCCCGGATACCTCTTTATAAAACTCAGTCACGTAAAAATATTAGGCCTTTTCGCGCATCACGCATAATGTCCAAAATCTTTTCACCTTCACGCAAAGTTTGCGACAGTCACGTTCCACATTATAATTAAAAACGCAACTCCACGAATTAACATCTTTACTTTTACTAGTCTTACCAATCTTCAGTAACAAAAGATGACGTAATATCTTTTCTTATTTGTTCAAGTACCATTTGTGGTCTGTTTTATAACTTTTGTCGATCCATATGAAGTCCATGTTCTGTCAAAATCCTGGTCAAAACCTGTGCACAATCGTTCGAGAACAATACATACATTTTCAAAACCATAAAAACCCGCAAAACAAAATGTTTCTCTAATCACCTTTAATTCAGCTCTTATTTCACGTTTGATTAAAAAAAGTTAGTTCATGTGGACATTAAAAGATCTTATCGTTACCGACGTGAAATAAATTGTTGTTGTTGTTTTGTTATCGTCTCTAAATACGATTCACGAATAAAGAAAAAATCAAATTATGATTCACGAGAAAAAAGTCGTCCAATCACAAAAAAGGTACAGGGGACCCCCCATCAAGGAAGTAAAGTATACTAAGCAAATAAGTAAAGTATGATAATAAAGTACATCAGGCAAGTAATGGGCTGTACACCAAGCAGGTAAAGTAAGTAGTAAAGTAATGGGCGTCTAAAGTAGTACGGGAAATTATAAGCACCCCTCCCCCCATCGACGCCCACAGCTTATGCATACAGCGGTTCTTCAAATGAAGAGCGCGCCATCCACAAAAATGGGAAAAAATGGCTAATGAAGCAGACAATCTGGAATATCTTTCCTGTAGTATTAGTAGTATAAAGCCTGTAGCACATACTATGATCGAAAATGTACTGTCAGTCTGCCCAGATGTTGATCCAATAGATATAGCTAAAGATTTGGAAATCACTAGAGGTCCAATGAAAACTATTAACAGGATACTGGATGGTCAGGTTAGTACCGGATGAAACAATCAAAACTGCTGGGAATATACATGTATATAATAACAATATAATATGTGAATATCTCAGTCAATAAACTGGAAGATTTTACGTCACTATCTTCGTCAGTATAACTATGATAAAGTTGTACAGTATGTACAGACTAAGTTAGTGGCGTAATATTTTCCAGTTCATAGACCGCGATAGTCGCATAATTCGCCAACAAAACAACCCAAATTATGGGAAACTGATCTCAAAAGTTTGAGCTATCGTCTGTGACATGAAAATAGTTTTTATTCACTCCATTAGTAAGAGCCTTTTTAAAGTTTGAATGATAATGAGTTTTCTTCATCCTTAACTGCTGATCATTGACTGTACCTGTGCCTACGTTCACAGATTTTTATGCTCTGTTTACTGTGTTTACTTTGTTTACAAATCTTTCATTGTCATTTCCTTTACGTTTAGTGCGAGTAACTGAAGTCATAGCCGATATAATATGCTTCGAATTTGACAGAAAAACATTTATCAAATACACTACGTCAATTTGCACGTACAGCTGTTTACCAGTCTCCGTGGAAATTGACTGCAGTTCATCAAATATCAACTTATTTGTTTTTCAGTTTCCTGCCATAGTCAATATTGATGTTGATGTTGATGTTGAAAACAAAGCCAAGGATCAGACCCAAAGGAATCTGGTTAATTCAAGGACTTTTGATAAATCAGAGGTATCTGTTAACAGAGAAAAAGTTTTAGAAATTAAAGATGATTCCAGTGACACTGATGTTTACACTGATGCAGATAGTACTGATGATGACATTATTGTAGCAAATGAAGAGAGAAAAAGCTTGTTCAGTGCCTTAAGAAGCAGAATGAATGACAAGGAATCTAGAAAAAGCCCTGGAAAGCAGTCACAAACTATGGAGTCAGCTGTCAGCGTAGGACATGTTTCTTCTTACCACCCTGAAGAAAAGGGTGAGGTAGGGGTAGGGAAGGTCAAACATGCAAGTTCAATAATTGATCTTTCCTTCTTGGATGATGATGAGCAAGAGGATATTCAGGATGTTAGAAACACTTTACATTCATCTGCTGCTAAAACACTAGCTAAAAACTCAGGGAATCAAATGCCACTAAAGAAGAACAGGAAAGCTGTGGAGAGACAGGGAGAAAAATTTGTAGATTCCTCTCCATGTGATCATGACAGCTCTGACAGTGATGATCTTCCATGTGTTCTTCCATCTTTACATTCATGTAGTAGAGGCACCCTATCTTCTCCATCACATTCAAACTCATACACAGATAATTATGAAAGACATGACTCTCAGTTTCAAGGAAGCAACTTTGACTCTCAGGATGATTCTCAAATCCCTGTTAAAAGAAGGAGAAGGTTACCACAGGAAATTGCAAAACAGAGAAATGAAGCTCATGTAAGTATCACTTTAAATAGATACTTGCATATTGAGAGACTTTATTTTTTATTGATACTGATGAGGCTCAGTCCACTTTGCAAGGATAATGTAATTTGATACAGCACTGAGGAATAGTCAGGAGGAGTGTCGACACTGAGTTGGCAGATGATGTTTATAAGCTTCAATCTGTCCATGTCAACATCTTCAATTTTTTAAAATCCTGAAAAAGCATCTCTTGCATAGACTTATCATAAGGTATTCTTTCGATTATTTTGCAATATGTGCTTTTTACAGTTAATTTATTTAGAATTCTTTGTATCACTACTCACTTTTGTAGCTAAAGAAACAAGCAAAAGAACTTGAAAAAAGAACAAAGAAACAAGCAAAAGAAAAAGAACAACAGGCCAGAAAACAAGCTAGGGAACAGTTGAAAATTCAGAAGGACAAGGACAGACTGCTGAAAATGGTGTGTTATTGAAATTTTAGGATCTCCAAACTCCTTCCCTTTTATTTTATATACTGGTACTTTTTGTTTGGGGGCCAGCTGTGCTATCTCTCCTGTGAACTTTTTTCGTTACCTCTGATCCTACTTCTCCTTACAATATCTTAACTGAATCAAACAATTTGGTTAGGAGGATAATAACAATGATCGCCAACATAAGGAGAACCTGAATGTTCAAAAACTTCTCCTTGTCAGTACCTTAAGAAATGTACAGAAAATATTAACAAAGATTTAGTAATACATAGACAGGTAAAAACAAACGATATAAAATCCCTACGTTTCAGCGACTTCATGACGCCATTGTCAAGGGTACAAATGAAAATAAAATTAACAAATGCGAGTTCTTGAACAAGGGTTTGTTCAAGAATTTTCATTTGTACCCTTGACAATGGCGTCATGAAGTCGCTGAAACGTCGGGATTTTATATCGTTTGTTTTTACCTGTCTATGTACAGAAAATAGTAGGAGAATATAGATATTGATTTTTATAGAAATTGGTTGCCTCTGACTGTTGTTATTTTTTAAACAGACATTTCAGCTAATGCTTAAGCCTTCATCAGTGATATGAAAAACGAAGATCATTGTCACACACTATTTAAAGTTAAAAAACGTGACGCAAAGCTTGCGTGCGTAACTATGTATTTGAGCTCGCACGAGGTCTTTATAGGCTTCTGGAAGTTACGGGAGCAAGCTTCGAGTCACGTTTTTTTAACTTTAAATAGCGTATGATAATGATCTTCGTTTTTCATATCACTGATGAAGGCTTAAGCATTAGCTGAAACGTCTGTTTAAAAAATAACAACAGTCAGAGGCAACCAATTTCTATAAAACTCATGACATCTCCTGACTACACTTTTTCCATTTTTAAACATATAGATATTGATGTTTAAGTGTAAATGGTTCTTGGGGAAGCCTTTAAAAATCGTGTTTTGTTACTAACAAGAAAAAATTAGTGGGAAGCATGTAAAAAAAAATTTCTTAGTATTAAATTTTTTTTCGGGATTTACATATAATTTAGATGGCAGATTTAATATTTTGTGCTTTCTTTCTTGTTTAGGCTGTGAGAATGAATCAGAAATCAAACAATCGATTGGATGGCTGTATCAAGGTACTATGTGGCAAGAAAAGTGTTTTAATAAATAATAATAATAATAAAGGTCTTTATTAAGAATTACTGTGCAAACAGACGTGCAACAATTAACATGATTAGAATGACTAAGGAAAAGGAAAAGGTATTAATTACTATTGAAAAGACATCTTTTAATAAAAACTGATTTAAAACGGTTTGTCTGAACCTAAGGTAAAATATAATTATGCGACCTAGTTCTCAACTGCTGTGTTCTCTGGGGAAGTAAGAGATTGCTCAATGCAGTGTTGGTGGAAAAGATCCTTTGCCATAATTTCTTATCTTTATTACGATGGATATCCAAGATACTGTGCTGTTTTAAGCAGTAACCCAGCTTATAACACCTGGCAAAGAGCTTATCAATTCTACTTAAATATTTACTATAAAAAGCACACCCCCAGACTTCAATAGCATATGGAAAAACTGAAAGAATCAAACTTGAAAAAGTAAGTCCAAATTCTCAATAGAGTAGCCATAATATTTACATATTCTTGAATCCCAAAATGTATGGCTTTGTATTATTGCACATGTTCTTTTAAAGTTCAAATATTGCATTATTTTGTATGTTGTTTCTTTTCATCCTCTTAAAGTACAGAATTATGTTAATTGATGTTGGCAAATGTCAACTTTTTCTCATTAAGTGCTAAAAAATTCTTTCAAACAGCAAATAGTGGTCTGCATGGATCATGAAATAGTGAACTGTTGTCAGCTAGCAGGGGAAAATCTTCTTCTTCAAAGATTGGAATCACTGGGAGCAGCTCATAAGATACAATCACAGCAATTTCCCAGCAGTATCACCTGGCAGAGAACTTGTCTGCAACATGACGTACAAGAAGAGACACTTCAGGTACACACACATGTAAACAATATAACAAGAGGATGGTTTATTTCTATAGCAGGTCTCGAAATTGCAACCAATACAGTCGCCAATGTGACTAAAACTTTTAACTTGGCGACTAAAAGTTCGAGTTTAGTCGCCAAAGTGGCGACTAAACTAAATTAAACTAAACTAAGTTCGAGTTTAGTCGCCAAAGTGGCGACTAAACTAAATTAAACTAAACTAAGTTCGAGTTTAGTCGCCAAAGTGGCGACTAAGCTCGAACTAATTCCTCTGATAAATAAAAGATTGTAGATGAGAAAAATTTCTTAAGTTTCGTTTCTGTGTTTCTGCTTTTCTGCCAAAGCAAAGTCTGTTTACCTTTAAGCTAAAACTTGAAATGGCTTTCAAATTGTGTCTTCTGAGACGACATATTACAGTGGCTTCTTCATGCAGGTGATCACGAGTGCAATATTTTGTTGAAAAGCCTCTGACATATTTTCCTAGCTAAAGTAGCCCTGAAATGTTCTTATTACTTTTTTCGCTTACTACTCAAGGTAAGATTGTCATGCAAAAGTCTTTTGGAGTTTCTTCTTTTGTGTTTTCATGTTTTAAGTCATTCAAGATTGAGTATTTCGGTCTACCCCACAATCGCAACCACAATCCACCAGAAGCCGATCAACAACGCCAATTGAGTAAGGCTCTAATCTGATTTCTGTTCTTGTACTATCTTGTGACTGCATTTTTTGCACTTGGGGACCATTTTTTCTCTGATAGTTGCCAAAAGGCGACTTGGAATTTTTTTTAATTTCCAGCCCTGTATTGTGGTACTTCTCCTCGGAAAATGAAAAGAGAAAAACAGATAAAAGGAATTTGGGATCAGTTTAAGTTCTGTGTCTCTTGTATTTTGACTGATTTTATTTGTTCCATTTTTTTCATCAATAAGATCCTAGTTTGCACAGTGTGGTTAAGAGACAGGATCTTTAGAAAATAAAATATCAAACCATGAAAAGGGAATTAAAGTGAATTGATTCAGCATTCATAGAAACACTGTTTTGTGTGTGTTGTTTCATCTTTCTTGGTAGATCTCCACCAGAACAACTGTCACTGATGAAAACCATGCAGTTCTTCGTCTGTCAGTAGTCAAGTTTGTGGAAATGGTTGTACGATTTCGTGAGGTGAGATCAAATAGGGAAGCAGGAAATAGTATCTGTATATTTGCTTCCTATTTATGATTATAGATTGACAATTTTTTACTGTTTGTGTCATGGGGCTTGAACATAACATGATTGCAGTACTACCTTTTGTATTCCCATTGTTTTCATTTAGGAGATTCAAAATCCAGCAGTATCTATTATCTCTGATGAAGAAACTCTGACTGAATTCTTTGAAAGAGCTCTGACAATTTACCCTGGAAAAATCATCACTTTTGTTGTCATGGGTCTTGAAAAGTATTTCAGGTATGTCTTGAAAGTTAATAATTATAATGATAATTGACATCATCATCATCATTATCAACATCAACATCATCATCAACATCACCAACATGATGATAATAACTGTCACAATAAGAATGATAAAAATATTGCTTTTTATAAAGTGCACTTCCAGTAGGTGCTCATGCTACCTTGAGTGCAAATAGTACAGAACACCTTTCTTGGATTTTTTTAGTTATGCACTGCACAGAGGAAGATTTTACAAAATGCAAAGTGAATTGTCACACTTTTTTCTTTGATTTCTCTAAAGAGATGTGAAACTCTCTCAAAACCGCCAGTTTCGAAATGCTGTTCGTGGACAAAGCTCCTCAGATAGTGATAATTCCAGTGGTAAACGACGAAAGAAAACAAATAAGGAATCTGTACCCAGTGTTACGGTGTCAAGGGTTGATGTAGAAGAAGCGCTTGTGGACTTACAGATTAAACAGCCTGACTGCCGAGTACGCATGTGTGAAACTGAAGAGGAGTTTGCTGATCTGTTGGCCATGTTAACTAAAGCTGTTGCTGAAGCACCATTCAAGTAAGATCACTCAAATATCTATTCATTGTGTCTATTGCCACACCTTAATAAGTTGAATAAATACATAATAACAGAAACTTGATTTTAAAATTGAAGTTTAATCATGCATGGTTGTCTTAGTCTTTTATGATGGTGACTAAGTTAACCCTTTGCTAGACCATAGGTACAAAGGTCAAAGTGCCTTAAACCAGTTGAGCATGTGGCTCTCTTGCTATTGCCTGGGCAATCTCGTTTTGGTTTCTCTTTTAGAATTAATGTTACCAGTAGGTATGTGTACTTGAAAGCTCCTCATCTCTGATTATTAAGTTCAACAACTGCTGCTCAGACCATTCACTTGTAAAGTTTTGTTAGTAGTCAAAGAATTAATGAATTACATTCTGCATCAATAGGAGGAAACAACCAGAAGTATTTTCATTCTGTGTGGAAGGACAGAAACGATCTGTGAAGGTACACTGTGAAGCCCAACATCATCAACAAATGCTATCTTCTTTGTCCCAGCACTCGTGTCATGATTTGGTACTTATGCAGTTGGGGTTGTCAGAGGGAGTCAAGGGTGGGGCAAGTACATATGAGGCCTCTGTGCTCCGTATTGAGGAGGATGGGCTGGCCCCATGGTTAGTGCACCGTGCTCCATATTAGTTTTAGCCCTGGCAGGATTATTATGTTTGGTCCTTTACCCAGGAGAATCTCAAAAAATGGTGTGGGGTTAAATGGTAGCAGAAGAGGGGGGGGGGGGGGGGGGGGCAGCAGCGATACATTTACATCCTTTGAAGGGTGAACTAAAATTGAGCCATGATAGGCAGAAAAGATGTCACCAGACCATTCCTACCATTGCCCCCTGTCAACAGTTTCTCGTTTTCGTTATTTTCCATGAATCTCAACTATTTTTAATTCTCCACTGTCCCTCAAATGTTGCTGTTTGCTAAGAGGTTGCTAGCATGGTTATTGTTCCTTTCTGCAGGTGGTTATTTTTCCTTTTTGCAGGTGTCAAAAGACGGTGAAGGTTTGAAGAAAGTCTGGCAGAAACACTTTCAACAGTTGAGAAATGTATCAGCTGAGATGGCGGCCGCCATAACAAACGTTTATCCTTCTCCACAGAGTCTCCTTAAGGTACTGCATCATGATGTTTTTTCCTCTCTAAATAATTTTCTTTGCAGATGCTGTCATCTCAATTACATTAAGTCTTTTCACACTCTAACTGTTCTTAGATCTTGTGAACTTACCCGACAATTTATATTTGTTATTCTTATAATATTCTTTCACGAAAGAAGTAGTGAATCTTAATAATTAACATAACGCTATGTTTTTAAGGCCTATCGAGGATGTAGCAGTAGGGAGGAAGCTTCTAAACTGCTCCAGGACATCTTGGTAAGCTCTCAGAAAATAGAAAATGTTTCGTTCGTCAGTTTACTGTTTGTAAAATTGAAATTTCCCAAGGGTTTTGTTTTGTATTAGGGTTCGATGCACACTACTATAGAGTAACGTGTGCACAGACCAAGTGCTCTACACAACTGCTTTATTAGAATACTGATGAACTCAACATTCAATGATAAATATATGGATAATCACGTGACTGCGGTTAAGGTGTGGTTAGAATCCAGATTATGTAATAACTAAGGTATCTATCCAATAGGAATAAACACTATAGGTTTCTTGATGACTTTATTTTTTCAAACAATGTTTGTGTTCTGTCTAAAGTGCTCCCATCCCCAATTGCAATAATCACATGCTTTCCACACTCAGTTCACACATCTGCCTTGTTAGACTTATCTTGATGTTTTCCTTTCCTTCCAGGTCCGTCGTGGCGCCGGGGTACTGGCCAGTAGCCGAAGAATTGGACCTGAACTTTCTCGACGGGTTTATCTTCTTTTCTCAACTGACTATGGCGACCTATCCTTGAAATAATAGCCCCCTTACCCGGGCAGTGGACGCCACTGTTTTGAGGGGTCTGAGTGGGAAGTTTCCTTTGGATTAGTTTCGTATTCGTAAGATTACGAGGTATTGTAGTTTCTTTTAAAATCTACCTGACTGTTAGCCTGACTAGGGGAACGTTTGTTTTTTCTGTAACAGCTGCCAGTACGAACAATTCTGCAGCGATACCTAAGGATGTGTGATTACGTTAAAGCTAATTGATTTTCTCATCGAATTTTACCCCTTTTATACTTATTTTCCTCGAGCTCAGATGCCGCAGAAAGACATTTGTTTTGCCTAGAATAATGTGCTTCATTTTTTCCGTAGAGAACAGACCTCAAAAGGTAATACCAATTTTAGCCATGGATAATTGTCTTAAGAGTTCACTGATATAGCATTCAGAGGTACTCTTTTAGTGCTCAGTTTGGTTTGCTTCGATTTTTTCCACTTCTTGACAACAGAGGCTAAAGCATGTTCACCATTTCCCTCTATTAACTCTGATTTCACGAACAACATTGCTATTCAGGTCCGTGTGCAAAAGAAGGCTTTTTAGTCCTGATGCAACATAGTTACGTTTATGAAATAGCTGATACGCAGATCACACCTGACTTTTCAAAAACAAAAATTAAAAGTTATGTTATAAGATCACAAGACCGTACTTTCTGTTGATTCACCGTCGTAATAATCCATAGGGTACGTATGTTGCATGAAATCCCAAAAAGAAATTAGAATGTTGTAAAGTAGCGATTCCGGTTCTGGCCTCTACTAAATATAGGAGCCTCCCAGGGCTAAATATAGGAGCCTCCCAAGGCTAAATATAGGAGCCTCCCAGGGCTAAATATAGGAGCCTCCCAGGGCTAAATATAGGAGCCTCCCAGGGCGAAATATAGGAGCCTCCCAGGGCTGTGGGAGAGAGAATGCGGAAGATTCTCTCGCCTTCGAGTCGGAATTCATAAAACTCTCTTCTGTTTTATAGCATCTCACGTGGATTATTTTCTGTTGAATGATTAATCTATAAATGTGCACATAGGATGAATATCTGAAAATATGATCTAGATGTGGAAGAGATATTTTGTTAATTTAGTTACTTGACAAGAATAAAGTACTTTATTTTGAACTACTTAATTCCAAGGGCTAGTTGTGGCTGCTTGTTTTGTATTGCGAAGAACTGCGTGGAAAACGCAAACTTTCAAGTGTTGGGGCGACGAAAATTAGTAGTAAAAAAATTCTAGTGCCGATGGAGGAATAGGTATAATTTTCATTAATAATAATTTTCACTGCTTATTGTCGTCGCAAAGTACTGCAACGACGCAGCACAACAAGGTCGAACCGAAAGCTTTTAGTGGCGCCTGTGGCAGCCGCTATACGGTCCATGTGTGATCTTAGAGCACAGCTTATAGCCAGCTGTATGTTACGGTCCATGTGTGATCTTAGAGCACAGCTTATAGCCAGCTGTATGTTACGGTCCATGTGTGATCTTAGAGCACAGCTTATAGCCAGCTGTATGTTAGTTTTTGGTGATGGGGGAGAACCGGAGGAGAACCGGTTTAGATAGAGTAGCGAAAATTGCATGTATAGGATTTTTATTGAAATTTTGTTCATTTGCAATTGTAAAGCGCATAGAGTTCAATTTTAATGCGCTATATAAGAACTTATTATTAAATTAAACACAAACTCAAACTTCTGGCGTCGGGTGCGGGAATCGAACCCAGGCCACACTGGTGGGAGGCGAGTGCTCTCATCACTACGCCATCTCCCTGCCCCCCCGTGTAAAAAGTGTAAAAAACATTTTTTTGCGAGAAATCACAGTGGCGAACCGAAAATAATGCGATTCAGCCTTCGAAATCGGAAAAAGAGATAAGAATGTTGCGAAGAAACGATTTTCGGTTATGGTCTCCTGCTACTAAATAGGGGCCTTCGAGGGCTAAGTTTTGTTTACGTATGGAAAAAAGTGGATGACAAGGTTTGGAGTTTCATATCAACTTTCCAGGATGGAAAAGCTCTGATCTAATAGTCACTTTTTGGGAGCGCTACGAAACATAAAGATACTAGCATGCTGTGCGCGAGTGCGATCTAGAAATTGTGTTCCCACTAATGGCGAGAAAACTTTGTAAACGTGTAATCCGTTTTGGTGTTATTTTAAAATTTTCATTCGATAATTTTAGTTCAGCCGAAAGCATTACCTTGCATGCTCGCTCTTTAAGAAGTTGCTTATGCTCGGTTTATTTGGCGTCACCTGTAATTAATGACGTCATAAAGCGAAAACTCATCTTCGTGAGCTGACTAGGAAAAATTCGCGAGTTCAATTTTTGGTTGAAATTTGTTCACAATGGATACCGGGACACGTAGTGGAAGAGCGGAAGGTGGAAATGACCCTCCTTCGAGAGAAAAAGAGGAAGGGAACAAAGCTATTTTTTCACAGGATGAATCTGGATCCAGACCCGGAGTGATCAAGAAAAACTCGCAATGTACTGGATCAGAAAAATCCACCAATGGGGCCGGTGAAGAGTCTTTCTTGGAGGATAACAAAAACAGCGATGATATAATACATAAAAATGAGGAATTCCAGTCTGGCGACGTTGAGGAGTTGAAATTCCTGTACCCGGACAATGTAGGAAATGTACAACAAAGGAAATTCGCCGACTCGAAGATCGATTCTTGGAAATGTCAGGCTTTACTGCCGCCAGTTGAAATGCCAGATTCATCAAGTATTCCCCTGGCAAGCAAGATTGTTAAGGATGGCATCGTAAACGATTCACAAGGGAAAACTTTAGTTGCAGGTCTTGGAGAGCTACATGAGGATGTCTTGAACACGCAAGACACCTTGCCCAGCTTTAGTGCCGCCCAAGAAGGACCACCTGGTAAACTTGAGGGAAAAAATACGGCAACAGAAGAGGATGGCTGCGCTCGTGGAAGGAGTTATCTCCCAGACATCTTCTCGACTGTAGGGAAGCCACTAATCCAAGTCCAGCAACCTTCCTTATATGTTCCCATGAGAAGCTTACCAATGCATCTAGCTAGTGACACCGCTAACTCTAGTCAAATAATAGAGGGCCCGGGGTTTGCGAAAATCGACGAGAAATGTGGATCGAACCTTCCAAAGAAGACAAAGAAGAAGAAAAAAAAGAGAAAAAATCAAGTTGTTAATGGTGGTGCTTCCGAGATCATCAGCGGGGATCGTGACTTTCTAGAGGACAGTGCAAAACTGAAAAAGAAGTCCAGGGTTGATGGAGATGAGAGCGGGATTAATTCTATCACGAAAGGTAAACAACGGCCGCGCATTGCTCTTGGGAGGTGGTTGAAAAAAAAAAGTAACTCTGTTGCACCGGCTCCACACCATGACTCAAAGAACGACGCCCAGGAAGATGATTCATTGCAATCAAAGAAAGAAGTGGCAGATGACGGGAAATATACTGAGCCTTATATCTCTCCCAATCCCAAATTGAAGATTAGCAAGGAAAGATCCAGGCCATCTTTAAACAATAATGGGCCTTCGGCTCATGACTGTTCGACTCTGTTGGTGTTAGAGAGAAAGGAGAGTGCGCCTAAGTTCGCGGTCACCGCGGCAAATGTTATCAATGAACCAGGTTCGACAGTTGAGAATGGAAAGCGTATTGACATCGAAAACGACAATCGTAGAAACAAAGAACACGCTAACTATCAACCTGCTGTAAGCGTTGATAAGATTTCAAGTGCATACGAGCACGACGCGTTAAAGGAATCTAAGTCAACATCGCACGTAATTGGAGAGAAGGCAAACGCCACAGATACAATACCTAAAGCCTCATGTTGCCGAGGTAAAGACTCGTTACAAACTTCATTGGAGGTTAGTGACATTAGTGCCGGCTACGCCTCTAAAAGAAAGCACAAGGCAGTGAGTAAAAGCAGCAATGCTGAATCAGTAACAAAACACAATGAACGACGTGCTAATAGGAAGAAACTACTTATTACACTGGCCATGAGAAGTGGGCTTACCGAACAACCAGCGGTTTCGAGGAAAGTAGCTAAGTCTAAATCTTGTCAAAAGAGCTCAGGGAGGCAACACAGTAAAATGAACATAGAAGAAGAGAAATTTAAAGTTAAGAAGAGGGTAAGATTTAAACTGGAGCCTGAGATTTTCACTGAGGAACCAAGCAGCGCCACACTCTACTCAACGTCTTACACAGGGCGCATCTGGGTAGACAGGAAGCCATCAACATTCGCTGAGCAGTTCCGTGCGCTCACCAGCACAGACTGTTTTCAAGGTGAGTCTTCTTGTGAATCTCTTCCTATTCCTGACATCAAGCCGAAATGACCTGGGGCTAGACCGAAATGACCATGGGGTGGACCGAAATGACCTGGGGCTGGACCGAAATGACCTGGGGCTGGACCGAAGTGACCTGGGGCTGGACCGAAATGACCTGGGGCTGGACCATCTTTGCCTTCAATCAAGCGACACAAGAAGCCCGACATTGTTCAAAACTTCCTCGAAAAATACCAGAGAAAGAAGAAGAAAGAAGTGGTGGAGGACTTTGAAGGCTTTGGTGAACCTGAACCTGACGAGGTGAAATGTATCTTAGAGCGACTAATGACGGCAAAGCTTCCACGCTACCCAGCACACTGGGATCCACAGCGCACTGGGATCCACAGCGCACTGGGATCCACAGCGCACTGGGATCCACTCCCCACTGGGAGGCCGCCTGGCAGAGGCGGATAAGGATACTGTCTTGGATTAGTTTGGTCAAAGCCTGAAAAGAGCTCTCTGTCGGATTCATCGTCTGAAGGTAAGGGGGATGTTACGTATAGCGTAAACTCCTGTTCTATTTTAGTCTTTCCACTTTGCAAACTGAGTCGTCCCTATTATAGATATTCCAGAACTGATTCGTGAAGAAGAGAAAACATGTTTTCCAAAGCAAGACAACGCGATCAGTGAGGCCAAGAAAAAGCGTCCGTGTTAATTGCGCTTCCTCGGGCCGTGAAGCTTCAGTTGAAGAACCAACAACGTGGTGCAGGGTGTCGAGACTTCCCAAACATTCTCCCCAGCCCTCTTCGAAAACTGCAATCTACGTACATTTGTGATGGGGTTGAACTGGAGGACTTCGAGACCATAGTAGACGTGTAGGACACCACCACAATGACTTCTTTGTTTTATGTAAATTCATTATCCAATTTTATTTATTTTTTTTAAAGTTTTAATCGAGATTCTCATTGTGAAACCTTGCTTTCATAGGTTAAAGCTGTTCTTATGATGGAGAGCTTGTGTGTTCTTCCACAGAGGGGTGCTCCTCTGATGATGGAGAGTTGTTGTTACACAAATGTAGCATGCGGGGTGCAAACTTTTTCAATGAATGCTGAGAAAAATAATGGGTTTACAGGAATATAATTTTTAGTTTAATGTGAATAAATTCGATAATTTTTAGTCCTTGTTTTCAGTGATTTAGATCCTTACCCCAGTGAGAGTTGTACGACAATAGTTCTGCAGTATTTCTCTCTTCTGAACCTACCTCTGGGTTACAGTTTCTCATTAACTGTTCCGTTAGAAAGGTCTTTTTTCCCGAAATTACAACGAGTCTCTCCGACTACAAAACGAATCTCACTGGTAATACAACGGTCATACAATGCTACACATTAAGGATAACGCATGGATTTTTCACCCCATAAAACCCTTAGCAGCCCATGAAGGCACCTTTATTCACTACCTTTCATTCGATTCTGAAACAAATAATACAATTTATTTGATATTTGTGTAATCTACAAAGTTCTCTTGATTGAATTCATTAGGGCCTATTAATTCAAATTTTTACATCCATATTAAACATTCTTTTTTCCCAGTAATGACAATATCTTTCTTCTCCTAACCTGCTTGTAGTAGGTTATAAAGTGGATATAAAGACAGATATAACCTGATCTTATCAGGAAAATACACATATGCATGTGAGAGGTCTGCACAAACTTGGAAATACACAAATTTACAAAATAAACTGAAATGTCCCCCTCAGAATTGGTAAACTTTATATAATCTGAAAATTACAGGCCTGTAGGAGAATCTGATTGAGAATGAGAGAATCATTATGATAATCTGACTTAATAACATTTGCTCACAAGTTTTCAGCCTTGACTTTCTCAAAAGTTTTTTTTGTCAAAAACACAATTTGCCCTATACATTTCTCACTTTTGCTGAAAAATTTTAAACCAATGTTTCCCACCTATACTCCAAATATTCTGTTTGACAATGAATACAAGACAAAAAAAATTTAAGAAGACAAACTGGTTTCCAACATTTTGGAAACAAGAAAAAAAATTTAAGCCACAACATACCCGTACAATTCCACGGGATGAAGATGTCTGTATTTCAATGTATGACTACTATAGACTCCTTTTAAGTCAAAATTGACTTTTGGAGGTATTTCCTCTCAAACTACTCCTAAAAGAAGCCATATTTCATCTGAAGAAACTTCCTTGTTAATGTCTTTGAACTATGTGATTATGTGCTGAGGAAGGTTAGAGGTATATTCTTTAAAACCTTGCCGATTCAAACATTTCTTGTAGTAATGTTGACATTGGAATTTCTCCCTCCAGCTTGGCCCGTACCAGTAAGAAATACTGATAGCCTTTGGTGCAAACATCACGAAGAGCCGGTAATCGGAGAAGAAGCTTAGCAAAGCGTCCTGAACGATGAGGGTAATTTAACTCCATGTGATCTTTGAGAGCTGCAAGAAATGACCCTTGAAGTGCTTCAACTGCAATCTTGTCAGAAAGTCCTGCTGTTTCTGTAAAACATTATTAAAAATTACCGGTAGTAATGCTTAAAATCTTTAAAGATGAAAAGATGGATATGAGGATCATATCTTTAATCATGAACACTAAATTTGAATTTATGTTATGTTATAATATATAATAATAACATTCACCAAACCAATTACACCTTTAACCCAGCAACCTTTGACTCTCACTCACTGGGAATTCTCCTTACTGTCTGCCATGGAATTCTTATACTGTTAGTGCTGAGAATTTGATATTGGATCAACTAATAATACCCTAATTGATATTCCCCTTGATTCTCACTTGTATGTTTGATATTGTAAGGAGAAATTATGTCTTGGTCACTCATCAGAGTTAACAAGTTAAGTGGTTATAGTTTAATACTTGTCAAATTCCACCACATGTTAACCAGTCAGAAAAGTTGGAATCTGTGGTGGAAGTCATTTCAAGAGATGTTAGGGAGTGATTGTAAGACTAAGTGGCATTCTGCTCAAGACAAGAAGTCAATTTAAAATTGCAAATTATTTCTGTCAGTAGTATGTGTAGACTGCAAATCGCACAAATTGATTCAGACTGTAGGTCAGGAAGTCAGCTTACTGTGAGGGGCAGTAGTATTGTATTTGTCTAATCATGCAAGACCCTAGAGGCATGTGGGAAGACTCAGACATGCAAATACAAAGGGAGTTTTATTGATAGAGAGATGCCTGTAACTATGCAAGAATATAGTCCAGTAGGCAAACAACAACAATGATGAGAACAGACAGTCGACAGTTATCTACTTGACAGAATGACAGAGGTTGATAATATGAAGTTAAGAAGTTGTGCACTGAAAATACCTACCTGGGTTAGCTAAGAGAATAGTCTTTAAACAAGCAAATTCAACTTGATCCATGGCAAGGGGCCTAAGTCTTTCCACCACATCAAGAATCATGTCAACAATTTCTTTGTTCAAAACACTGTAGCAATCCTCTCTTTCAAGAAGAGTGGTTGAGTTCATGTACACATAATCTTTGTAAGGAATAGACCTGTAAATGACTCGAAATACAATCAGTTCCATTCCTCCAGCTGTCAGCAAAGCAATCTGATCCTTGCGGCAGAGGTTTTCAAAACCTGGTACCAGTTTGGCCCATTCAACAATCAAGTATAGTTCTTTTGTGATTGCAGTGGAAAGTCTGGTGAGCATTCCTTCTCTGCTTTCTGTGCCATCTGCCTCCTTTGGATTTACAACTGACTCTCCAGGAGGAATAATGCAAGGACTGCTTTCCATAAGTTTTTCAATGAGTTCAGAGCAATATATGATATTTGTGTCTTGATTTATATTATTCTCAGTTGTTTCATCACATTTCTGTTTCTTTAGCGGATAGAATGATCGTCCACCACGCTTTTTTTCTTTTCTCACTCCTAAAAAAGATAAACAATTCAATAAAAGAAGAGCAAATTTTGCAATAATTGTCACTTGCATCGTATGCATGACCAACACTTTTACACTTTAGACTGGTTTTCTTAAATGTCAGGGTCCAAATTGTTATTAGAAGTGCAGAGGGATATAAACTGATGAAGAAGATACCAACAGAATTGGAGGCAGCATTCTGGTGGCATTAATTAGGGATTTAATCATTTGTGGTCTTTGAAAGCTGAATTTTTGGATTGGTTAAGCCATTGGATGACCTTACAACTTGCACTGTGATTGGTTGGTTCTGCTTCTGCATGCCATTTGAACAATCTAGTTTTCATTCACTCATAAATGTGGAAGTCACTCGTGGGATTGGGAGGAAATGGAAAACTTGTGAATCCACTCACAACACTGATTTTCACCATGTTGATAGTGTCCTTAGACTCTGGTTATGACTCCTACTCCATTGCTTGTGAAAGGAAAAGCTTTAAAGCAAAGTAATGAGAGGGCCAGGACAATTTTCAGGGAAGCAAACATACCTGAAGATGGCTAAAGAGATCCTGTAGAGATTTCTTAAAAGAAACAACTTGAGACTCACTTTTTTACTTGTTTTTTGATTAATTTTACACCAACTTTTTTTCCAAAATGTGTTAATTGGAACTTAATTCTTTCACTGGAAGTGAGGAATTGCTTGTTATGTATGAGACAATAAAACAGTAAAATATATCTCTGTCACCAATCCTACCTATAACTTAACACTTGCTTATTAACTAGCAGCCACTCAAACCCAGTGAGTTAAATTAAGTTTTGAAGTTAAAGGATGAAAATATCAGATATAATTAATCAGATAAAATATACAAAGTGATAAGAAGGCTGTTCTCTTTATGAGTGGTCCCACTTTTAAGATAATAATCTAAGGGTCCCAATGGTTGAGTGTCCTGTTAATGTTACCTGTATTAGTAGATGCAGGTCACATGATAATGATGCGAGTCGTTTCAACATCCTATAAACAAACTTATTATTGTTTTGTCTCAACACAGTCTAAAGGTCGTTTTTCAGAGATCAGCCGCCTTTCGAATTAAATGAAAATCACATTATTAATTTGTGCTACTTTTCACTGCAGTTTAACGCGCACGAATCACAATTTAACGCTGAGTTCATGTTAAGATTTGCCAAGTCGAACATTCCTTGATCGAAAGATTACTCCGGCGAAATGGTCATAGCAATACTTAATCTCTAAATATCTTTAGATTTTGAATTAAGATTTCTATCTTGAGAGAAATTAATACCTTCGGCGACCATCCCCACTGTAAAACATTTTTGAAGTCGACAGAACTGACATTTGGCCCGAGACTGCTTGTCTACGGGACAGCTTTCTTCAGCAACACACGCGTATTTGTCCAAAAGGTCTCTCTGTACCGTCCTCTTAAAGAAACTCTTGCAGCCCTCGCAAGTGTTCGCACCGTAATGATAACCAGAAGCACTATCGCTGCATACAGCACACCACTTCTCGCTTTCTTCGTCGTTTTGATCAGCCATTCAGAAACACGGTTTTACCATCTAACGTTGACGCTATTTCTGGACTTCTCGAAGGAAGCCATATAATTTTTTGCTCAACCAAAAGTCAAGGCTTAAAGCAAGAGTGTAACTCCGAGATAGATCTCGGATTACCGTATAGTTTCCAACTCTTGACAGCTGCCATAGGCTTCTGAAAACATCGATCCTCACTACATCTGACACGGGAGCTGGAACAGTATTCCCTTTCCAATCGAGTACGTACCTTTCAAGTCACACATTACGCAAAAGCTCCTGGAAATGACGTCATGTTCTGTCACAAAACGTCTACCATCCCTCAGGTCACGCTCCCTCATTCGTTGGAGGAGAGCGGACGGCCGACATGACTTTCCGGATCATCTTTTGGACCTCTTTAGTGGCAATTCTAGGCAGTTTAGCCTGCAGGGAGCTGCGAGTTGTCACTGTCGGATTTTCACTGGAGCTGGTGTATATAGCAGCAAAGCTTAAGCGGTCAGATGCGTTTCAAATGTTGCTGGATGATGACTCACTAATGTGGTAAGAATTTAAGGGGAGGGGGGAAGAGGTATCACTATATTTTTCACGCTGACAATCTCTTTGGACTCTTAGGTAGAATAGATATCGCTTACAATTTCTTTGATTTTCTCATATTTGGAGGAACCAAATTAGTTCAATTTGTGGTCGTTCACTGTCTGGCCACTGAACCACAGTGAACTCGACTTGATTGATCTAAAAAGATCAAATTCAATCCATTTTAAGAAATTGCTCTTCTTCGTACTTGCACTGATCAATCAATCAATCAATCAATCAATCAATCAATCAATCGATCGATCGATCGATCAATCAATCAATCAATAATCTTTATTTATACACGATAAGTATACTATTTAAAGCGACACTTTGCTTGTGGGGTGTAAGCACAGGTGGCCCAAGCTCGGAAAGAGTACCATCGAACCCCAACATTAATTATGCATTCCACTTCTTTGTCTTTCACGACAAAACTTTAACAACAAAGTCTCTAGTCTGAATGCATAATTAATGTATGGGGTTATATGGTACTCTTGCCCTTTTGAGCTCCATAAATGTAAAGTTGTGTGAAATAATCAAAGAAATAAAGTCTTATCTTCATAGAGAGTAGTCTGTGTTGGTCTCCTCGCGACTTGAGGCCGTTTTGATGTGTTTTAGCTTGACGCCCTAAATCACCGTGCTCACAATACGGGAAGGTCGGGGGTGTTACGAAAACGAAGACCCTCGAAAACGAAGACCTAAGACCTAAGACCCGGTCTTCGTTTTCGTGCTACGAAAACGAAGATCCTTTAAACAGTAAACCGTAGAAATTACAACTTAAACACACATTAAACAGCAACAACGCTTAGTAATATAATACATTACACTTCACGCGTTTCTTGTCATTATTATCCTTGGTATTAGACGGTCCGTCTTGTCCGTTCTGTTTCGCTATGCGAGCCAATTTGGTGTTGATATTCTCGAGGGTTTGCTCGCGTAAACTTACAACACATATTATTATTCTGGAACAGCAGGCAGAATTCGAACGCTAGCCGCCTTTCATTTATAGTTAGCATTGCGTGACAATAACAGAGAAGGGGTTCTGTACAGGAAAAACTACTCTTGGGTTCTGTCAATAAATAAACAATTTCTACTGTATTTCGTAGCTAAAATAGATTCTGACGGTCGTTCAGCTTTCTCTGCTGGAAAATTCTCGTTAAAAAGTAAGCAATTCTTTTGGCTAATGCAGAGTCTTCGTTTTCGTAGTACGAAAACGAAGACCCTTTATTGAAAGCAGAAAATCCTTTGAAAGTACGATTGTAGACGTAAAAGTACGATTGTAGACGTAAAAGTACGATTGTAAACGTAATACGGGCAGTATAATAATGGGAAGACACGCGTGAAGTGTAATGTATTATATTACTGAGCGTTGTTACTGTTTAAGGTTTAACTTGTAATTTCTACGGTTTTCTGTTTACAGGGTCTTCGTTTTCGTAGTACGAAAACGAAGACCGGGTCTTAGGTCTTAGGTCTTCGTTTTCGAGGGTCTTCGCTCTCGTAACACCCGGAAGGTCGGAAACTTCTGTTGACACATGCTGGCCACAATCGATCGAAAACAACGCTTAAATACTTTCCCTCGAATCAATACTTGGCAGCACGAATGCCAAATAGTTGTCCTTTAAGCTCACCGAAAAAAATGCCACAAAAGATGGTTTGTCGAACAACCAATCTAGTGAGAATTTCAAATTGACGGCCGTTCTGAATTCTCCTAATGCGTGGAAGGAACATCTTGTGCAGCTGAGAGCCTTTAATGCGCGGTCAACCTGTTCTGAACCTCTTTAAGAAGAGAAAACCAGGATTAAAAAAAA